CTACTTTATAATACCAGCAAGAGGCTCTCACTTTCATGGAAGCAAACATGTCACACCTGTTTATATTAATCTGGTTTTAATTTGGTTTGTATTTGAGACATTTAGAGACACGCGTGTGATAAAGTGTCTTAACTCTGTTGACGCCGTACTTGTAACCAAACAGTGCTGGTAGAGGGTTGGTTATCACGGTCGCGGTGATATGCAGCAACAACTCTAGCTCCCTTGCCAGTCGATAATGCAGAAAACCAGAGAAGATTTTTTTTCTCAAGTGATGCAATAGGCTTTTGTAACATTCAGTACAATATCAGTTCTATTAAAATTTCTACATTTTTGTGATATAGAAATAGTTGTATAAAACACACCAATGCATAATCTTGTGTTTTGTCTCCTTATTATCAAGTGTTACCTCAATAAGTTAATTTCTTTATACCTTGAGTTTTGACCTCCAACATTGGTTTACTTGCTCCTTCATCATCTCCGTTTGTCTTCTTCTCCAAGGGGATCTCTTCCAACTCCATGGCTTTTCTCTGTTCTTCCATTAACTTTCAATTTGCCTTGAAATTCTCTCAGATGTGCCTCGTCAATGAGGTTCTAAAACTTGTCAGTCAGGCAGGCACAATGTGGATGAAAAGGATGTTGAAAAAGTAAAGTGTTAAAACCTCACATCTGGTTTTTAAAAAAAAAGCTACAGACGTTTCAAGGAGTGTCCAGCGAGTGCGATTCACAATAAACTGATCAGTGAGGACAGAACACTTCCCCCTAAAGACATTGTCATCTTTTTTGTCCTTCCTCTAAAACATGTGGTAAGTTCAAGTGACTTCGCACTAGTTTTCTAACCCTGCATTTTAAGTATGATCATATACAATAATGTTTGAATTGTTCATTGCATTAATTAAACCAATCAATATTTTGTGCACCAACAAAAAGTTCAGATTTTTCAATATGACATCTAAAACCACAACATAAACAGATAAGTCTATGCACAATGATAGAAAAAAAGATTTCTTTGTATTTTCATCTTTATTTTTCACAAAAGTTTGACATTAATTTACAAAAGAAACAAAATACTATTTGCAGTAAATACAGGTCACTGAGAAAGACAACGAGAGCTCTCAAAATAGTTTCAATGATTTCCTTTTACATGCTTTTTGTCTGTCTTTTTCAAACTTCCTCTTGCTTCTTTCGCCACATCAGAAATCAACATTACTTGAAGTTTTTAAAACATATGACACCCAACCCCAAAATACTGATAATGATTAAGTCCACAAGGAACATGTCTTTCTTCCACCATGTACTGTAGTTAATTATAAGAACTAAATACAATAGAGTAATAGTAATGTGAAACAATACAAATGGCATTAACTCTATTCCTCAGACGGTCACATCTTCTCATTGGCTCTCTGTCTCTTTCTCCAGTAGTTTGTCCTCCCTCAGGCACCATACACGCTCTCATTACTGTAGGTCATGTAGAGAAACAGGTCCTCTTCATGGTGCTCCTGCAACAACAGGGCAGAAAATAAGGCATAATTCAACATTTAGTGCATGAGATACTGCAGCTAAATGGGGTTTTTAAGCAATCAACTAAATATATGCCTGGCATTTGTTTTTCATATCATATTTATTAACACATTTATTAATAAAATCTAAATTTTGGGGTTTAAACATGGCTTATAACTCCATCGAGTGATTTGCAGTCTTGGACCTCGAAGGGTCAATGCTGACAAACAATTTGGGACCCTTCTTCATCATGACATTTATATATATTTGAAAAAGTAAACACCCTCTAATCAAGGTGGGCAGCCCTCCACACCAGCTGCTGCTGGTAAGTGTGAATCAGTTAAGCTTTGCACATTTTAAAATCTATGCTTAAACTAAACCCTTAAACCACCATATCGTCTACCATTTATGAACCCCCACCCCACAATTCTAATTATAATACTAATTGCAATTTATATGACCACTTTTTTTTATCATTTAAGCAAAATATAATACATTTAATATAAAAACCACTCATATAAATACATACTGGATTTATAACTTGATATCCTTGAACACATTCAACACACGCAAACTTCTCTTTTATGACCACACAACCAACTGTTTATATAGCACTTTCAGAATGAAACAGATGGGCATGACTTTTCGAAGAAAAGTGAAGTAACACTCAAACATATTCTATCTAGAACATTCTTGGTTGTTGTTGCGTTGGAGGGAGGGGTAAAATATGTCAACTCATGTGTCACTTCAGAGCGGGACACTGATCTGCGAATGTCCGTGTATATGTTTTTACACCTGCTGTTAATGTGTATCTGTTGGGAAACAATGCTAAGTCACCTCATATACGGCCGAGAGAGGGGAGCTGGATGGGGGAAGGGAGTTGTTCACAAAGAAGAAGAGCGCTTCTTCCGGTCTCAAAGACACACGCTGACGGATGAGGAAGCACAACTGGCCCACTAAAAAAGGAAGGAGAGAGAGAGAAGGAGCGAGAGAGAGGGTGAGAGACGGTCAGCAAAGTTTAAACAGTAGATACATTTCAGAAAGGAGGAGAAAGACGTTTGTTATGTTTATGTGACTGTCATCAAAATATATTTCCTGTTTCTACTGAGACCTTATAGCATAGTCATATGTTACTACCACCAGAGGGTGGCAGTAATGCACCTATAATGTAATGAGATTAAATGCTACCATTGTGTGTGCGTGCGTGGGTGCATGCGTCCTTATATTATCTTATTGCACACATCTGTCTATATGTCAGCTGAACAAGAAACTGCAGTGCAGAAAAGCCTAGCATGATTTGTGTCACCATCGCAGGTTGTTTATTTTTACAGTATGATGTCAAAGGGGTCCAGATCAACACTGATTATGTGTTTGTCACCATTGGCCGATGAGCCTGACTGAGCTGTTCGAAGCTTGAACAGGTCATTTGTTTCTACTAAGCTGGATATTCTGGCAGGTCAAGTTTTTCTTGTGATATGGAAATCTGTAACATGTGGCTAGATGATAAATGTTATTGGAGGGAGTTTTTGGATTTTTGCATCTGTATAGATTTATATGTATATATTTTATTTTATTTTATTTAACCTGTTAGATCTGAGGGCACAAGGTATTTCTTCTTGTCCAGTTCAGGGGCTCGTGACCTCGAGGCCCTCTCCACAATGATCTGGTGAAAAAATAACCCAAGAATAAATAGTCATCATTAACAGGGAGAGAATTTATGTTCATGTGAAAAAATATAAACAGCAGTCAATAAATTCCAAATGAATAAAATAAATTAGAACGTAAATAATAGATCTGGTCTTTGATTGGCAGAACTGGCATTAAAAAAAATTCAAACATACATTTCTACCCCAGTTTAATTGATTGAAGGTGGCTAACAGTAAATGTATGCTAATACAAAATAAGCCAGCGGTCACACTCACTGGGATCTTGTCAGGGTGTTTGGCTCGAACTCTCTCTCCCTCTGCTCTCCTCACCTCTAGTGGTACTGAGCGCTGGTACTGACTGCCCATCTGAAAACAAGGCAACACAAGGTCACATCAAGCTCCTCACAAGAGAATTATTTACCAACAGACAAAGGAGAAAGAGGCTGACTTCACCAAGCACTGCATTCAGTCAACAATCGGTACTGACAGAGCACATCAGTTTGTGACTAAATGAGACGCAGATGTCTTTTAATCGAGTGTTTTAAGTGTTTTCAAGTGTAGAGTCTGAGTAATATTAGACGATTTTGCATTAATGCAGCATTTTTGCATTGATGTATTGAGTTGCTACTCTTATATGTTGGGTTTTATTCAGTCACAGTAGCAGGGTTACAAATTAAAATGGGTTCTTTAAAGCTCAAGTGGACATGCAGGATTTTGACAATAAGTCCATGAATAATCTACATTTTTTCAAATGCTGTCTCTTTTTAATTGGTTATACAAGATTGTTTCAGTGTGTAGGATTGAGAGACATTCAAGTTACATATTGCAACCAAACAAATGCCCCTCACCTCACTCCTCCTTTCCAAGTCTACAGGAGAGCCTGTGGTGGCATTCAAGATATGTAAAAACACAAAAGCCCCTTTCTAAAGCCAGTGCTTGGTTTGTCTATTCCTAACTACTGTAAAAAACATGGCAGTTCAACATGGCATGGATCCACTCACAATGTGGATATAAAAGGCTCATTCTAAAGCAACCAACATTCAACAGTTCTTGGTTTTACGTGATCATATTAATGGAAACATAGTTATAAATATTAAATGAAATTCCTGCCTAGAGATTCCTCCCCTAAATCCTAAACACTGGACCTTTAATCTATTATTAATATATACTGTTGATTTACCACTAGATTCATCTCTCATTGTAAATAAAGACCTTCAGGCATTTTCGGTTCAACACATCTAGTAAACACTTAGTAGTGGATTACTTGATTAACCAATCATCAGGAAATGTTTTGATGATTAAAGAATTGGTTCAGTTTGCAAGTAAATACAATTTTCTGCTTCCAATTTTTTCTGATTTTTTGAAGATATGTCACAGTGAGTCATTTAAAAAAAAATTATATTCTTCTTCAATTAATACATTCTCAATTTAATTTCAGGAAAATATAGGTGTTACATGTATAGAGACATAGATTTACATGAACATTATATGTAAAACACCATTATATTCATGCCATGCTGTCAAACATGTGATCAACATGAGCAGAACTGGCACCGATACAAATCCTCTCATATCAGAAGAAGCCCAGAATCATCCTGTTTGTGACGTGAGTTCAGCAACGTGACACTGTTTACTCCTCGCTCTGAGAGGAGTAAACAACATCTGACAATGAAGCTAACGATACAGAGAACACATCCACACTATATCCCTTCACGGTCACTGGTCAGTCTCTGGCGGCGGACACGGTGTTTTAATCGGGCTGCTGTGGTCACGATGACACGGTGTTGTTGTGTTGAGGCCATCGTCGAGTGAGGCCACGTCACCGTTTAGCTGCAGCAGCACTGGGGTCAGTTAGCCTGCTTTTATTCTGGGATTTATCTTAACACAAACAAACCAACAACACAAACACGTGCACCCACATCTTCCACACACGTAACACAACACATCGGGGGGGGGGGGGCTGGTTTGTTAGAAATATATACGAATTCGGCCACAAGACGCTCCTGGTAACCGATGAAGCTAATGCCCACATACCTTGAAAGACATGCAATTAAATGGATTCCGCGGAAAATAGGACGAATGCAGATGTGGAGCACCGACCCCTCGTGTTGTTGACTGTCTCAAAAAGCAAAATCCTGGACGAACAAACTCAGAGTTCGGACATAACGAGGAGATTCTGTCTGTTTCAAAGATGTCTCCTGCTGCTGTTGTTCTGCTCAACAACAACAAACGCAGCGAGGCCCGCCCACCACATCCTCGACCAATCCGCTGCGAGCGTGAAGATTGACAGCTGAGTCCGGCGATTCAGGAGGAGGAACTACTGAGCTGGCAGCGCGTTCATTGGCTGAGCCGGAGTGTTCTTACAAGATCTTTCAACCAATGGCTGGCGTTGGAAACTGGACCAGGTCGCCGCAGGGTCACGCCCCTCGGCCGCGCCTCATCCAGGTTACGTGTTCTGCGCGCGCGTGCTTCTGTGTACGGTTCACTTTGTTCTGTAAACAACTCCTGCGGCCGCATGCCCGCGATCACATGCAACTCGCTGTGAACGTGCACCGTTCCTGCTAATGCACAAACTGCTGGATCAAAACAGGCAAAAGCAGAATCGTGTTCAAAAGAGATTTTTATTTCTGACTTTACTGAAATGTCCTGTGCAGCTTTGACTTGTTGCATGATTTCCAACAGCTCTTTCCTGCGTGCAGGGGCCACATTTGTTCTGGACACGCATCATAAAATCATCTATTAGATTCATATACATTTTTCACAATTAATTCTAAAAATCACCTGTCCGTTGATGTGTTGCAACATACACACAATGTTGTTTGTGGCGTAGACAACCTTTAATACAGTAATAACACTTTTAATGTCCCTCCGGCAGCAGTTCATGCATTGCTCTACGTCAAAATATTTGGTTTTCCACAGAGTGAAACAGGCGATGCTACATCGAGATGCATTCCATTCCTATGTAGTTCTCTGAATGTCCATTGTCCATTTTCCAGCAGCTTGGAACTGACAGCCGCATCTTATTCTTTACAAATAGTCTCATCCAGGACGTCCCACTGTTTGGTCCAACTCTCACCATGCCACTCAAACAGCAGCTGTGGCAGTTGTAAGTTTGAGCGCATCTGACAGGTTGCGCTGTCGGACTCTAGAGTTGGTTATGGTTTCCAAATGGGACTCGGGCACCCATCCATGATGTCGGTCAGACAGTCGGGTCCCCTCTACCCAATCTGTAAAAAAGAAAGAATGCAACATAAAAGACTTTAATGCTTCTGTGACCTAGGTGATTCTGTGCAATAATCCCAAATTAGATACAGGAGAATTATGACAAAGGTCAAGTGATGAACTTACGGTCGCTGCTTTGTTGGTGAACTAGAATGACCTCTGCTTTTTCTAAGGACAGCTCATCAGGCTGCTGCCCAACAAATGCTCGAATGCACTGCATCTGTGGAAAATCTGCACAGAGAGAAGAAAAATGTGATCAAACATACAGTCTAAAGGTAAATACGTCACCACAACAAATTCTACAATGCCTCTGATAGCCTTGATAACCTGCCCTCTAGGTGTTCATATGATATTGCATGCACAAGGCAAAATATAAACGTTTTGTGAGGTCACAGCGACTTTGACCACCCAAATCTGTCCCAGTCTAACTGAACGTTAGAAAATCGAAGTTTAATCTAAATTGGTTAGATCATAGGTTTACCTCCCTTTTGGCACTAGTTTGTTTACAGGTGGGGGATTTTGTAGCTTTCAGAAAGTCTTTATATCTCCAACACGCATCTACAACAAAAGCTGACAAATGTCTTCACCTGCCCAGTCATGTCTACTTTACAATATGATCTAATTGGGGTTTTACAGTATCTTCAGTTTCTCACCTGGTGAACCACAAATACTGTCTGACATTAACATTTTCAGACATCATGATGAAATTTTTACCTTGAGCTGCAGAAAAATCTATTTCAGGATGTGGCCGGGAAAGAGCAGATATCCAACGTAGCTTATCACTCCTGAAGGAAAAAGACAAGACAAAGAGGAATATATCATCTGTCTCTTTTTCTACTTTTGTGAATACAGACATTCCCTGCAGCTATCTCACTCTCTTACTGTGTGTCAGTCCTTAGCAGCAGGGATTTGTGCAACATGTGCAGCCGGAACAGGTTTTTCTGTAAAGAGTGAAGCTTGACACGACAGTTCTCTGCACGCAGCTCTGATACAGGGGAGTGGTCGATTACAGTGAATCTTCCCCCTCTGGAAAGAAAAGATAGTGAAAGAACAGGAGAGACATGAGATGGTGGAAGGGACAGAAGGGACAGAAGGGACAATAAAAGACTTCAGGGACATGCCAGTGACGGGTGGTTTAGGGCTGGGCAATTAAACAATCCATCAATAATAATCGCAATATAATTTCCATCAGTATATATCAATATAACAGAGTTTTCATATATATCAATTTAATGCTTATGCATTGCTTGAGCACAGTGAGGAGGTTTTACACATTATTATCAGATTTGTTTATCAAGTGATTGTCATTCTCTGCTCATGAAGAAACCACAACCTTCAATCAGTCTTCAAACTTTAAATAAATAATAATGGCACATTTATTGTGATAATCATTGACATCAATTGATATGGATATTTAAAACACTCTGCCCGAGGATGGATTATTCTAACATTACAAAAGAACATGTGTGTTGACTCACTCTTTTTGTAGTGAAATCAGCAAGTAGTCGTTGAATAGGTGCATGTGAATGTTCCTCTCTGTGTCTTTTAGGGAGAAATCCATCAGCTCAGTAACCACACCTTCCCGCACCAACCTCCGAGACTGACTGATCAGGGGAAGAGTCTGTGGCACACACACACACACACAAACAGTTCAACAACAGAGAGCGGCAGTGTGAAAGATGACATTTTCATCATGAAAATAACAGTTTGACTAAATTATCTTTAACTTTTCTGGACCATCTCATGCTCAGCTTCACATCTGACTGCCTATTATCACATGACTATGGATCATGTGACCACCACTGAACCTTCTTCAAGCTAAGTTTACTACATCTCCTGATGAAGACCCTAATGGAAGAGAAACTCATAAAACTCAAGAAAGTGCTTGAGTTAAGATCATTTTGTGAAATGATTTCTTTAGTTGTAGCTTCTATAAAAAACACTGAAAACACCCATAGAATTTACTCTTTAGTGCTGGAACATGTGGCCCAATGTCTTGATACATGATACACAGAGAAGAAGAATTTATCATCATTGTGTGACCCCATTTATCTGAGCTAATATTTACTTTATTAATATAATAATGTTTGTTATTTGATTTTATTGTTTTAAAATTCCATTTTGATATTTTATCACTGTATTATTTTATTCTCTGTTTTTCCTGAAATATCTTAATCCTGTTTCAACCATGTAGTATTATTATTATTATTATTAATACTACTACTTACCCTACATTCAAAGTCCACCTTAGCACTAAGAGTGACCAGTGACTCGATGTTTTTCATCTGGGAGATGCTGTCATTACTCTCTTGAATCAACTAAAAGAGACAGAGAATGAAAGACAAACAGATTTGTCACCTAAGAACCCCAAAAAAAGAACATTTCTCAGTGTAAAAGAGGCTCCTGTTGTACCTTCTCCAGAAGTTTCATCGCTTTGATAGCCTGTGTCACCTCCGTTGTACCTGGAGTAGTTCTCTTCACAATGTTCTGCACAGAAGAAGTGAGTGTGTCAAGGTTAGGTAAAAAGGTACAGGACTGTTGTGAGACCATCAGCCATGTCAGAGAGCATACACACACACACTCACACACCTGGACCAGCAGCTTTATTCTTGTGATCCGTTGGAAAGGAAGGACGAGGAAAGAGCGAAGAGGAAGTCTCTGACAAACTGGACTCTTCTCGAGTTTCTCCACAATCCGCTTGAAACCTTGATTCTCATTCCTGCAAGAAAGACAGATTTTGAATGCATTGAGATAATAAAGAGAATAGCTGAAGTTTTCAAGAATTGGAAATCACATTCACTGCTGGAAATGTGGTGAGTGTTATTTTTAGGGAGAGCATATGGTCCTGCTGTGGTTTTTACTGGATCTATTTCCGAGTCTCGAACAAAAACCGATCCAATAAAAACAACACAAAAGCTTGACTGGGTGGCTTACATGAGTCTCTGGTAGGTGGCATCCTGATAGGACTGGTTGGTGAGGTATGGCACATAAACCATTTTGAAGCGCTGACAGTGCCGAGCGATGATATCACACACCGTGAAGTGAACGATGTCCGTTTCCACACGCTCCTCCAGCTTTGACAAAAAACTGAAACAAAACCCACAAAGATCATTGTTATGTTGATTTCTCCCACTGATGTGTGATGCTGTATTTGCACAAACATGATTATCACTGTTGTGGAAAATCTGCTGATCAATGGTCAACTCATCAGTGAAGAAAGCCTTCAGGAGCCCTTTTATGTCTTATGCTGAAATATTTATTGAAGCTTGGCCAAGGAGAAAATCAGAATTCATCCATACAACATTTGTGCATGATGCTCTCTCATATTCTGAAGTCTGCTTTCCACACTTTAAACCCCAACAGATCATTTAATCTATGGGTGTGCTTGTTCCTAAACATCAAATGTATTTTCTAGTTATGGAGACAGTATTGCCTGCTTACGCAGTTTCATATCTGCGATGTCTAGGGAGTGAAGGCTTTGACCTTCGCCAAGCTCTTGTACTTCCCAAACACAACAGCCTGTTGCACTATGCCCCAGAGAGGACAAGAGACAGTGTCTATGAAAATTTCATAACAATCACGTATTCATGTCTCATATGAGTAATTTTGTCAGACAGGTATAGTACAAATGAAAAAGAAAATATGCCACAAATCAATCAAGAAGTTGCTCAGGTAAATGTTAACTATCTCTGACCTGTGGCTGATGGCTCGAACATCTGCAAGCCGGGAAAACAGCCAGTTTCTATCTTGCGTGGTCAACAGCGTCCCCAGCTGCTTTGACTTGACAAAGTGTTCAACAACAATGTCCAAACTCCGGCAGTAGGAGGCTTCCGAGGTCAACACTTCGAATCTCACCTGAAAAAGCAAAATACAAATGATAGAACAGATTAACACAAAGAGAAACAGAATGAAACAGTAATAAGTGAAGAGTTTCATGTTCTCTGAGGCTGGGAGATTATGACGAGGATGTGACTAACAGGCAAGCGTTATTTCACAACACTTGCATGTCTTTTTTTTTAAAGTTTACGAGCAGACACCAACAGTACCAGAGAAACATGTTGATGCAATCACACTATCTGGCAAGAAACACCCTTCTGCTAATGAAAACTGTATTTATGGAGGGGGGTAAGTCTGGGATTTGGCAATCGGAAAATTCTGAGAGATTTTAGTATAAGTGGATTCATGAACACACTGCATTTGCCTAAAAGGTAGAGAATCTGCTGATTTGAAACAGCCCTCAACAAGTGCCTTCAGACTGAGATATTCCTACATTGCTCAATATTTTCACTAGATTAAAAACACAATTTTAGTTTTCAGGGACAAAATCCTAGAAACTTGCTATTGGAGGAATAGTATGCCATCAAGTGGTGACAAGACACTGATACAGTATGTGCAGAAACACCATGTGATACCTCCTGCAGTCGCCTCTGGTCCTCTGACAGATCATCCAGTTGACCACTGCTCCTGACCCCAGGCAGGTCCCGCCACAGTGTGGATGACTGTGTGAGTGTGATAGATAGACGAGGAGAGGAAGGTCTGCCCTCGCTCCTTGGGGGCTCAGGAAGAGGCAAGCTTTTGACGCTGGTAATGGAGGCCGTGTGGGACAAGGAGTGAGGGTGTGGGACAGGCGGTAGGGGAGGTAGAGGTCTGCGGGCAGGAGGAGGCGACGGAGCAGGAGAGGAGGTGTTGTCCTCGCAAACCGACAGGACATCAGAGCGAGCCTGACGCAGGATCTCAAAGTTCTGTGCCGCCTCGCTGTACTGCTGGTAGAGCTGGGCAGCATCTGGGAGGAGGAGAGGGGGTGAAACAGATGGAAAGACACAGAGAGAAGAGGGAGAGAGAGAAAAATGAAGGTTGAAAAATACAGGGAGCATAGAAAAGAAGAGAAACGGAGAGAGGAACACTGTTAACCAAGAGGAGTTGTTTGCATTTGACATTCCTTTTACACATACTTGTCGGAATGCAAAGTAACTGCAGCAGCTGTTTTCCCTTCAAGTTAGGAGATACTTGCAGAAACCTGTCTGTGACTTGCACAGACTCACACATGCTCAATACAGCACATACGCAATATCATTCAGAGCCAGAGAGAACGGCTGCCATTTTAGATTTAGCTCAGTTTTAAACATAAGTTTAACTAGTATGAGCAAACAGTAAACACTACTTATTTTGATTTATGTATTTCATCTACATTCAACAGCCAACATGTTTCTGTTTAGAGATAAACGGTTAATGAGGCTGCAATAAACAGGATATGAATCACACTCATTGAAGGGAAATGCTCAAGACATCTCATGCTTAACCTGGCCACAGACACAAGAGATATGATCTGAATGACGTCACTATTGCCTACGCAGCCCTTTCCTATAAGCAACCTCAAGCTCTGTTCTGAAAACAAAACTCTGAAAGTGAAAAATGAAAGATGTTTGAATTGTCCCTTGAGAGTTTATATACTAATTTTAATGTGAATGACGTCAATTAGGCAAAAATAAAATAGGAACTTAGATACTCACTGAAAAACCTGGAATTCCTTTTCCGTCTGTCAATTGTGTCCAAAACATTCCTGCAGAGCAAAGAAAGAATCCCAACAGCAGTTTTTATAACCGTCGAGCATGAGTTAAAAGAATGAAAGTGATTAATCTGCTTTTTAGAGTGGAACATTAGTTTTAAAGGTGCAGGACAGGACCTTCCTGATGCAACAGAACTACAGCAGTGTCCCTCTTAGTGCTAAACCCTGACAGTTTGTGATGTCAAGCAAACAAAATCTGAATTTAAATAAGAGAAAGAAGTGGATAGGTTCTGGGCACAGCTGTCATTAAACATTAAGAAAAGTCACGTTTCGAAAAAAAACATTAGCTGAGCCAAAAACGCTTCACAATCATCACAAAAGAAAAGCAACTCAAGTGTAGGTAAAACATTGCAAGTCGTAAAAAAAACATGTGTTGCTGTGTGCGCTTGTTTTATTCACCTCAGCTCCACTTCTCCCCAGCTTTTACTCCGATCATCCTCGTCATCTGAAATGTAGAAGTATCCTTTTGTTGACTCGTTATAAAACAGCATTCCTCTTATTCCTAGGCACTGATTTACTATTAACCACAGAAACACTCCGAATGAATCAAAAATAAAATATGAATAAATATATAAATAAATTACATAAATAACAAAAAGCACAATGAGAGAGATAAGTGTGTTTCCAGATCTTCTTGTGTTGTGTCTCAAAGTATGATCAACCTGAGCCTTTTAGCTCATTCACTCTCCACCTTCACTGATCTCCACCCACCATCTGCAACCAAAACACTGTGACGCAGATTCCAGTTTAAAGGCAGTGTGATGACCTCAGAGCAGCGTGCTGACAACGTCTACAAGCCCTAGATAACTGGTTCCGTGATTGATGAAACGACAGAACGATAAAGAAAACTCTCAGTCTGCAAGGTATCTCTTGGGGGTTTCCTCTGTGGGTTTGAAACATGTCAATCTGATCAAATGAATCAAATACTCTGCAGATGCTGATTGGTGAAAACATAGATAGGACCTAAAAGTGAGGAGAGGTGAGGTAATTATGTGCCTCTTTGACATGATTGATTTGAGCCAATGAATTTGATTTTCATCCTCAATCCTCTGTCTTTACCTGTTGTCGAGAATATTCTGGTTCTGCGATCCCTTCCAACACCTTCCTCTTCTTCCTCTTCTTCCTCTTCTACAAGCTCTCTTTTTCTTCGCTCAGTGGTTTTACGGATCCCCCTCCTTCGTATCCGAGCCTCAGGACCCAAGTCTCGGAAACTGCAAGTGCTCCTCAGAGTCCCTCCTATTTTCTTCTCTGCCACCACCTCTCCCTCTCTGCTGTCCACATCCATTTCTTCTCCTACTCTCGTCCCTCCCGCCAGCACTGCAGTACCCCGTTCCTCAGGCTCACCTCCCTGCCTCTCTTCTTCACTTGCACCCTCTCTCTCTAACTCCTCCTGGCTCTTACCCTCTCTGGAGGGGACGAGGAGGTCAGAGTCAGATTCATAATTAAGAATGGGGCAGCTGCTAGGCTTATACAGAGTGTTGCTCACAGATAAATACATCTCCACTTCCTTCTCTCTGCGTTCTTCTTTCTCTGCCTCTGATAGCATAACCTTCTCCTCTCCCTCTTGAGTAATTTTCACCTCTACATCTGCCTTTTCTAGCTGAAGGTGACCAGAGGGCTCAGTCTCTTTTTCCGTATTGTCATGCTCTATCCCTTCTGTGTCTAACTGTGTGTCGGCGTGAGTGTGTGTGGGTGTGTCACTGTCACAACGCATAACAGTGTCAGAATGCATGTCAGCTTGGCTCTGCCCCATACCTCTCAATCCCTCCATTTCCAACGGCTCTCCCTCCTCCAGCTCTTCATTCGTTGACATCTTATCAACGGGAATCCGTCCCTCTTCCTGCTGCCCGTCCTGCTCAGACTGGTTGAGCATTTGGTCTCCTCGTTTCTCTGGGTTTGGTTCATCCACAACCTGCTCTTCTGACTGTCCCAGGATCTCGTGAACCACATTTTTGGCCCATTTGAGGTGGGGGGCTTGCGAGTGCCGCTTTGGCTCCTCGGACATGCTCCATGCCCCACTCATTCGGATGCGAATGGCCTCAACCTCTTCTGGACTCATTGCTCCCGTCTTTATTCCATCCAAGATGGGTTGAATTTGTTCAAAATTGGCCTGAGGGAAAACATCAGCGTAGGGATTAGTCGGAGAAAGTTGCTCCCTTTGTCTTTCGACTGGTACTTTATATTTCTCTCTCCACTCTACAAGGAGTTTTTCAGTTCGTGAGTCTCTTTTAATCTGCCCTATTTCATCATATGGGTTCTCCACTTTGCTCCTCATTTCCTCTTCAGCCTCTGAGTCTTGAAGCCCTGAAGATGACCTGTACCTCACTTCCATTCCCTGATATTGCTGTGTGACATCATCGCTGTGGTGATGACACTTTTCTATTTCAACAACTCCCATTTCTTCAACTTCTGACGATGACGTGTCACCAGGTTTTGACCGCGGTAAAGTTTGCCCAATCACACAGAAGACATACTTTGACTGGTTCTCCCTCCCTTGTTCCTCCTCATCAGCTGCTTCCTCCTTCCTCATTATCCGTTCTCCTACCTTCTCCTTGTCTCCCTCAAGGCCCTTGAAGCCAACAGGTAGGGAGCCTTCGTATTCGACTCCACCTCCCCAGAACTCCTGACAGTCCTTAAACTCCTCGTTCTCATCTTCCTCCCTCTCATCCTCCTCGTCTCCACCGCTGGACACCGTCACGAAGCCGTCCTCTACTGACAGCATGCTGTCTCTCTCTTGCCTCCATCCTGATTCACTTCCTCCTCCTTTCTCGGAATGGACCAAATAGTCGCGCCCGCCCTCTTCCTCCCTGTCACTATCCTCTGTGCTATCTGTCGTGTTCTCCGCATCCCTCTTCCAGCCTCCCTCTATTCCACCACTGCTGTCAGAAAGATATTCCTTTCCTCCTTTATCAGTTTCTCTCCAGACCTCCTCTCCATCTACACTCACACCCTCAGCCTCCCTCTCCATGTTTCTGCTGTTCTCATCTCTCTCTGCATGTCTCTCTTTGTGACTGCTTTGGTCCTGGTCCCTCTCATCTGGTTCCTCTTTGACTTGTTGCATCTCTCCTCCCCGCTCTGCCTGTGACACCATAGTCCTCTCTTCTTCTTTCCATCTGGTCTGTGTCTCTCTGTCTACAAACTCTTCTTTAATATTCTTACCCCTCTGTGGCTCTAACCACATCCTCCTCTGCTCTAACAAGCTGCCTGCCCCCTCTCTCCTCTCTCTCTCTTTTCTCTCACGACTCTTTTGCTCCCTTTGACTTCTTTCAGCAGCTCTCTCTGGATCCCTTGCTTCTTCTACATCTCTCTTGCTCTCAGCGGTGCTCTCTCGCCCCGGTTCCCTTTCTTCATATCTGTCTCTACCTTTTCTGTATCTCGCCTCGTTGTCCATATCACTGCTCCACTCTCCACTGCTCTGTGATCGTGGCGGCACCTGAGGTGCCACCTTGCTTTTGCTTCTTCCTGCTGTATCATCCCACCTACGCTCTGTGTCTCTGTCCTTTCTTTCTCTGTCTCTCATCTGTTTGTATCTGTCATCCTCTATTCTTTCTTTTGGCCGTGCTCTATCCTCTTTCAAGTCCCTCCCACTTTCCCTCCATCTCTCTCCCTCCTTTGCTGCTCTCCTGTCAACCTCTCTGTACCTCTCCCTATCTTTCTCCCCTGCCCTCCGCCTGGATCTATCCCCCTCTCGCTCTCCGTCCCTCTGCATGTCGTCCTCTCTGTATCCTTGCCTATTTGGATCTCTCTCCCTCGATCTTTTGCCCTTGTTGTCCCCCTCGCTTCTGCTGTGTTGATATATAAACTCCTCTCTCTCTCTGTCCCTCACCTTTTCACTTCTCGACTCTCTCTCATCGCTGTCCCCTTCACTTTTGGTGTCTCTCCTTCTGTCTCTTCTCTGCCTCTCTTCCCTCTCCTTCCTGTTTGAGTGGATCTCTCTGTCTCTTCGTCTTTGCGGCGAGCTCAACCTGACCTGCTTTTCTCCCATGTTAGGCCGCGGTTTCTCTCTCTTCCTCGCAACATCTCTCTCTCTTCTGTCCCTCAAATCTCCCACCTCTCTCCCCCTGTCTTGAAAACCAGCATCAGATATCTTTCCCTCATATCTTTCCCTCTGTCGCAATTGCTCGTCTTCCACCGGTCTCCCTCCACTTTTTCTCCCCTCGTCCTTTGCCCTGCTTTGTATCTCATCTCTTTCTCTCTCTCTGTACTGCTCTCTCTGCCATGTCTTCATTTTCTCTCTCTCCCAGTCGACTGCGTCCCTTTGCTTCGGCCTTTCTCTTGGCCTATTTTCTCCTATCTCTTCATCAATCTCAGGGGTAAACATCATTCTTCTGTAACGTTCTGCACTGCTTTTTCTCATTCTGGGAAATGTGTCGCCTTTCCTCCCCTTCTCCACCTCTCTCTCAGTGTCCCACTCTAGATTTGACTGTGGCCTTCCATTTTTGCTCCTGTCGTCTGCTTGCCTCCTTTCTCTCTCCCTCCACTCTTTTTCTCCCTCTCTCGTCCTGGACACAGGCGATTTTTCATAGTGTCTCCCTCGTGGGTCTACGTCTTTGTATCTTGCTTTGTCTCTTGTTTTCTCCATTTCTATTTCCCTCCTCTGGTCTTCCTCTCGGTTGCTGTCTCGGTCTCGCTCTGACTGGGCAGTTTTCGCTGGTCTGGGACTTGGATCCCGGGAGATTTTTCCACCTGGCTGAAGCTTGCGGTCAGACATGTTTATGTTAGATAAAGTGTCAAAGAGGGTGCAGCTGGGCCTTTTGGTCCCCATTGTAGCACAATATGGAGAACCTAGAAGAAATGAGGCAGTAACAATCAACACACTTTCAAGGACAAACCACTGACATACAGGTCAAATTGAATGAAAGCAGAAGGCTCTGAAAACAATCCAAATTGTGTTAAATGAGGTGAAAATGAACTGTCTTTGTATTGCACTAATGTTGCTGCTACTTCTAAAAAGCTACGACTCTACAACAATTCAGCTGTTAACTTCGTTATTTTCGTATGTCAAAAACACTAGATAACTAATGATTGTATTCCCATGCTATATAATACCTGAGGCCTGAATCTAATTGTAGAGTAATTTTAAAGTAAAATAGGAAGAAGCAGGCGAGAGAAAAGGCAACACTCTCTTACAGTTCTTAAAGAATGCAACACAGACCTGCAAAGTACAACATACCAGAATGAAGCCCTTCAGAAAACGAGGGCCTGTGACACATAGGCAAGGTATGTAACATGTAAACCACAACTAAGCCTGATCCGAATGTGCATCCAGACTGGAAGAAATCTACAGAAGTGCTCACCTGAGATCCATGAAAACCTACTAAAGCGATTGACTCACCTGAATGTGCCGTCCTGGGGAGATCCAATCTCCCCCCTCCGGTCCAGCTCAGCTCAAAAGCATTGGGTTGCAGAACACATAAGAAATTGTTCCATGTATTCACATTGTCTAGATGTCCTAACACACGGCTTCCTTTTGTCCAGATGAGTCAGAAATGTATTGTTTCTTTTCCCTCCTCTCACTTAATAAAGTCTTGTGAAAAGGTAAGTGTTTACGCCTGAGCTCTCCTTGCTTTTCCTTCTTGCTGGCTCTCTGTCTCTCTCCACCTCCCCTTCTCCAAATTCCCAAACAAGTCTCAACAGATTGACACTTTTCTCTCCCCTCCCTCTCTCTGTCTTGTCCTCTCAGTCTGTGTTGCTGAAAGTAAAGCTCTTGCTTAAATCCATTAAAAGTCTCCTGAATCTGTCCACTAACACATACTTTTCCCCAACCCTCTAAGTACTGCCTGTGTGCACCCCTCTGGCAAAGAAAAAAGGAAAAGAAAAACAAAGTACGCAACTCTCTCCTTTCTTCTGCCCTACTCTTCTCTGCTGAAATACAGGAAGTGCATTTCCTTGGTGTGTCTGTCTTGGAGCAACGATTGGTTGATATGGAGTAGCCAGGTGAGTCAAAGGCAAGAAGGGTGTGGGGGAGGGGAGGAAGAGAGTGAGGAGTGAGAGCTCACTGCGGAGGCCTATGAAACTTCAGCATGTCCCTTGATAGGTAGTGAAGAGGGGAAAGAAAGGAAAACACAAACCAAGATAAAGCAACACAGAAGAGGAGAGGGTGGGAGGGACATTAGCGTACAGTGGTGATTTACTTAGCTATGTTGAACTGAGGAGACCTGAGAGGATTTCACACCATAGATCTCAAAACTGAATAAAGACATAAAGCTCTAACTTTGATCACTTAAGTTGCTTCCTTTCTTTTGGGGCCTTTAATTAGAAATACTTTACACTTTATCAACATGCTGTCTGTTTGAATTTTGATGGGGGCCTTTATAAATTAAATAAGTAAGATAAGTTAAGAATTGTTCAAATAAAGTGTATAATTTATGTTAAAGTGTTTTACAAATGTAAATCTCATCTTGCCAGTTTGTTAGATACACTTACTGAAAACAGAGACTAATAAAACAATAAAACCCAATAAATTCTACCCTTGTGATGTTTAATGTCAGTGTCATCAGTTAACTTTATCCTCTTATCATTTGGCAGGGCTGCACCCTGTCCATGGTCACAGTAGGCATGATCTAATCTTTTGAAAAGCATTGAATGTATTGATTCCTGTCCTTTCCTGCAAATATAATATTGTTGCACTTAACAGAAATTGCACAAATTTCAGTTAAGTAGATACATTGAATTCACTGAATTGTCTAGATCGGCATTTAATTGTCCTGTGACTAAGAGGCTAAAAAAGGGGTTAAAATGTTCAAACAAAATGTTGATGTAGTTTTGGATTATTTCTGTACTGCCTCTGTTTGCATGTGTGTACTTAATAAATATCCTCAGAATTTGTTTTTTCTCATATCATGTGAATGTAAAATGCTGCACATTTGTATATATTTGAATTGTGTAGTGCAGTACAGACAATGTGGAGTGAATAAAGAAGCTATAGAAGTAGCTGTACATAAGAAAACAGGTTTCGATGGTATTTTCAGAATAGAGTAGTAGCACCAGGTTCTTAGTATATTGTGGAGTTCTTGCAGTAATATTAAACAGCGCAGTGACGCAGCTGCATCTCATTGGTCGAGCTTCATGTGCTCGGTCACGTGTCTCTCTGTGCAGGTCACTTCCGCACTCCGCTGCTGTTTGCATGTTAGCCAGTTAGCTTCCTGAGTGTCTTCTTCTTTATATACAGTCTATGGTGTCTTCCTCTCTCAATGACAGGAAGTCGCTGTATTCTCCAGAACAGAAACGAGCAGCTGACGATTTCAAACTCCCCGACTGCGTCCAGCTTCTTTTCACCCGCGGGATAAAAACAGCCGCGGTTCTCATGAGCTCAACCAGGAAGCGACGTTAGCGTAGAGGAAGCTGCAGCTCATCATCTGCTGGATCCAGCTTCAGCTCATCTGTCAGCTCGTCTGGGAACATCCAAGCTGCTTGTTCCTCTCATTGTCAGCAGGAGCAGGCATGGAGGTGGGTGAACAGGTTGGAACCCACCGTGTCCTCATGCAGAGATGTGTTTATGTAGTTTCACAACTTCATCGTCCATCACACCATCAACTTGTTCCGTTTTCATGTCCCTAGATAGCATGGCCTCCATTGATAATAGTTTTTCCTATAACACTGAAGGTATTTGTTTCCTCCTTTCTGCTTTAAATGTAACATTTAATGTACCTTTTGGTGATTGCACAAGGTGATTTAAAGATTGTAGAATTTAGTGGGGAAGTTACATGTTGCAGCTGAACACCACTCCCCCTCCCCCTCCAAACATGAAGGAGAACATGTGATAGATTCAGTTGTCAGCTAAACTCAAAAGATGTTTAGTTTGTCCAGTCTGGGCTCCTGTAAAAAAACATGGTGGCTTGTGTAGAGAGGACCCACACTTTATGTAAATATAGAGTATTTAAATATAAAGGGCTCATTCTAGGGTAAAGAAAATAACATTTCATATAATTTAGATGACAACACAGCAGTGAAAACATCAATGGGATTATTTTATATTCAATTTGTGCCTGTTGAATCTGTTTAACAGGCTTATGAAAGAATAAGATTAGCTGCAACCCCGGCAGGAATATCTGTGATGCAATAACTGAAAAAATAATAGTAATTTTGATAAGCAATTATTAGTTTTTATTTCAAATGAATAAAATGTGATGATATTAGACTTGCCTGCTTGGTGGTAAATTAAATAATGGGCCTTTCTTTTAGAACAAAGATAACTTAGTTCTTGTCACATCTGTTCCAGGTGTACAGCTGTCCTAGTCGAAGGCCCTTCCTGGTGTGGACCCTCTTAGTTCCGCTGGTCCTGTGTGGAAGTGTGGTGTTCGCCGCTGATGGCATCAGCAGCTGTAAATTGCTCTATGACTCCAAGTCAGACTGGACAGTCCTCAATCGACTGGCACCACTCACCAATAAGAAGTAAGTAATGACTGAAGCTGCTTTTGGACATGCATTGAACTCTGGACAACCCACAGGCTCACTTCAGAGGGGCTGTAGATGTAAACACAGATGTTCAGGTGAGAGCCTCAGGACTTTCTGCTGACTTTCTCTGGCCAGTCCTCTAGTAAAGAAGAATGTCAGTAGGAGCCAATGTGAGAACATAGCAGGAGATCCTTCCCATGATTCAACATAACATATTATTTATGTATATAATTTATTTTTACTGTGATTGACAGCTTTACTGTGGAGTCCGTGGACGAAGGAGAGAGTTACACGTACATATTCCAGTTGTGTGGGGATGCAGGAGGTGTTCCAGGAGCTGGCGTCATTCAAGTGGACAGCAAGGGAACAGAGAAGAAAACTACTGTGATTGGCACGTATAATGCAACGCAAGCCATCGGGGGAGGTAAGTCTCTGCAGAATCTGAGAATTTGACCCTAATTAACTCTTATTTTGTTTTGCCAGAATGTATTTTGTGAAATTTGCTAGATTTTTTGTCCCAAAATTTGGATTAGGTTGCAGAATTATGTTTTCACAAATTACAAGAAAGAAGAACTCATGGACCAATTTATATTGTGTCTGATTTAAAATGTTCTTGCTTTTCCAGGTGACTGGGTGATGTTGATCTACAGAAATGGCGACACATATAATGTCCACTGCTCCAAGGAAAAGAGGAAAGCCTTTATTATGATCTCTTGCAACCGGAAGGTGGATATGGTAAAAGAAATACAGATGACTTTTACATCATAATATTTAAGAAACAAAAAACATAATTCATCTATTATAACTTCTGCTCATTGGATCATAGTGTTAGACATGTTGTGTTTGAGTAAAATTTTAGTCAGAACAAACTTTCCAGCATTTTTTTTGTAGTCTCATTGAAATACATTCTCTCTCACACTGCTAATGTTTTCCTGAGCACAACCTAATTCTCTCTTTCACCCTGTGTCTCTTTCTAAACATGTCACCTGTTATTTACCTTGACTCTATCTCACACACACCAAGGGCCAGCTGGAGGTGCTTCGGGAGGAGAGGGAGAGGGAGCAAGACTGTTTTTACCTGTTTAAGATGGACTCCAGCGCCGTGTGTCCAGATCCTCCGTCTAATCTCAGCACTGGCTCCATATTACTCATCATGTGGGTAGAAAGTCAAATAATCCCTTTCTATTGTAAAATATTAGAAAGATCAGTGATGACGCTCTCTCTCTTCTTTCAGTGGGGTTTGTCTTCTGGCTGTTTACCTCATTGGAGGTTTCCTCTATCAGCGGCTGATTGTTGGAGCCAAAGGGATGGAGCAATTTCCAAATTATGCCTTCTGGGTGGAATTTGGTAACTTGACAGCAGTAAGTCAGATCAACAGGATGATGACGTTATTAAATGCGTCTGAGATTGTTATGATGACTTAGACTGCTGTGGTTGGTGGAGGCATACAACCACTGGGATGTTATTCTAGTGTGTTGCATTCAGTTCTTAAGAAAAATTATGTCTCATTTACAGGATGGGTGTGACTTTGTTTGCCGGTCACAAAATCGAGAGGACTCCCCAGCTTACAGGGCAGTGGCCCCAGAAAGTTTAGAGGAAGAGCAAGAAGAGAGAGATGACCACTTACTACCTATGTGACCTGAATATGTCAGAAATGGGACTCAATTTCTCACTGTGTGACACAGTTTTCTCTTTCACAAGGTCGATGAAACTACTGTTAAACTGAAGTCTGTTTTTGTTTTGTTGGTTTTGTCAGGATCTGCACGCAGTTAATGTGTATTCCAGACATGTGCCTAAGACAACTACTGATCTGCTTGTCACGTAAGGGCATGTTACTCACAGGGCTGAAAAACCTGTTTTCTCTTTAAATCATGAATTTCATGCTTAATGTTTGAAATAAGACAAATGAGTAATTCTACTTCGACTGCAAAGTGACGAGTGTGATGTTTCTTACATGGAAATCAAAGTTTGTATTTCTACGTCATCTAAACACAATGACTTATTCTGCTTAGCTAATTACTTTACGTGCGGGGGGGGGGGTTATCTGGCTTTAATTTGTTCTAGATTGTTTTGAAAAAAGAAATTGAATATGAGAATTTAAGAGCTTAATTTGAAGTGTTGTGACCATGCTACACAAATAGAAATCACTGAAAAATCCATAGCTGGAATTACTTTTTAGTTTCCCTTTTCCCACATTACTAAGAAGAGCCTCTACTTCTGTGCAAAAATCTATAAATTGGTAAATATTCTCGGTTACCAGACTGAAATTTGAGTTTGACGGTTGTAACTTACCATACTCCTCTTTAAGTTTTGTCAGAAAGGTCAACAATGCTGAAAAGGTCTTGTGCTAAACCAATCTATATTAATGCACTCTTTCAAATTACAGACAAGTGGAAGTAGCTGAAGATTTATTCTGCTATTCATAAAATATGATTTCCAAAGTATGTCCTGTATATGCAGAATATGTACATACTAAGTTACATTTTCGGCAAACTATTGAATAATGAATATTATAGTGGGCAAACTCATCTGTCTGCTTATATAACTTGTAGACTTATGTGAGACCAAATTCTCAGGCTGCTTTTTTTACATAAAGTGGCAAAGAAAGCACTTAACCTTTAGTCTTGTATCAATATAATATAACTGTAAAATGTTATAGTTTATTGAGGATAACAAGAGTAAGGTTTGTAATAGTTATTACTGCTGAGAATTAAAGCAGACTTTTTCAACTCGATGGAAAATGTTGGGTGGCTTCAGTCAACCAAGTTACTGTACTACTGTAAGTGTGAGCACCGTGTGTCTGTCATTTACTTTTTTGTGTTTATTAATCTGAACTTGTTTTGCTTAATTGTTTGATTACTTTAACCAACACCCTTTTTTTTCTGATTGCATTAAAAAATATATATGAAATTAGTTTCCAGTTCATTTATGCCTGTTGTAATGATGAACTCAGAACACAACAAAGTGCAGTCACAATTTGAGATTTAATGGATGTCAACAATGTTTTAATAAGACATAACTTACACAATATATTTTATTGGTAACTTGTTTTTAAATTAACTCAGTGATTAAGATCTTCTTTGATAATAACAGTTAATGACATGTCTCTGTATTAGAGGTTCTAAAACAAATTTACCAAGAAATCTTGTTCAGAGTTCTTGGATGTGTACATATTATCCTCCAAGATAAGATAAGACATGATATGTCAAGTTTAAGAAATAGATAAGATAAAACCTTCTGGTATTTAAGCAGCCCAAGTACAGAATAAATACTAATAATACTAATTATTGCTCCCATGTTATGACATTTTTCAATTATACGATTTAAAAAAGTACTGCAGAATGTTGCTGTAAAAGAGGAAGAAAAACTAACCGTCTGCCAATAAAGCACAGGAAGAAGAGGAGGGTTTAAATCTCCTTATGGGAATGGAAGGCAATGAGAAGTCATATATATATATAAATATATATATAAATATAGGATTTAAAGACGAAAAGCAAAATATTACATTTGAAAATGTGTTAGGAAAGACATCAAGGAATATACATCATTTTCTTATGAACTACTGAAGAGAAACAGGAAGTAATTTCATTTAGTTTATTTTAGTTTGCTGCCAATCTACTGCTCCACACTCCAGTTCAGAAGGTGGCGATGATGCGCCTATAAGCTGGTTTGCCAATAAACACCAGCAGAAGAAGAAGAAGAGGGGCGGGGTTTGGTTGGAGGCAAAAACCCTGAGAGGAGCTGTCTGTCTGTCTGTCTGTCTCTCTGTCTGTTGTTGTTGTTTGCAGTTAAAACCAAGGAGCTCCACATTAATCTGTTTTTAACTTGTAAAGGAACAGAATAAAGAGGTAAGAGAAACACGGAAGTCTCCTTTAAATCACTAATGGCTGCTTTGATGCCGGGGCGACAGTCCACTAGTTGCTATCTTTCTGTTTGCTAGCATCGCTAGTTAGTTAGCCTCACCATGGTTCATTTACACAGCTAATAAATGCATGTATTACTCTTTTACTTGTTAAACAGTCCAGCACTTGTTCTTTCTGTCAAGCTCGGTTTAAAGCGTTAATGTTTGTAAGTGTGCAGTTTCAGACTTGTGTTTTAAGAACAGCTAACTACCAAAGTCTATTGTAGTTAGCCGCAGCTAGCTAGCCTCTATCCTAGTTGGGGTTTTCCTCCATGTTCTCTCTCTGCTGTTCATCTATCATGTTGACAACTGGCCGGTTAATGAAAATAGCACAACGGCCCTGCTCCCTACGACCAGCGGTCAAACTGTGGTAACATCTGCTCAGCTCATATACGTGTTTACACATCTGTGCAGGGCTGTGATTGATGGACCCCTGTTAAAGAATAATACCAGGCACTTCTGTTTATATGAAATGACCCTAATGCTGGAAACTCTCGGTAGCGAGACCCCAGACACTTCACCCCATTTGTGCAAAATGCCAATATACGTTGTAATATATGCTGTTGATGGGCTTTATCATTTTATTAAATACTTCTTTAGTTTTTGAGCCCAGTGTGGAGTACTGAGTGTACATGCTGAGATACTTACAGTTGTAATGTTAGGCAGTGAAGTAATTATTGTGTGTGCAGCACATGTCATTTGTTACTACCACTTTTGGTTTTGACCAGTAAACATGGATGGAGGCGAAGACCAAAACACAAGCACCGCCAATGGAAATCAGACTCAGACAAGTGGGAACTCTCGTGCACCCCAGATAGCCCACATGTCTCTTTATGAGAGACAGGCTGTACAGGTGAGAGTCTTTGTGCCTTATATAATGCAGAGAAGTGAAGAGAAAGACATTTTATTTTTGCAATTTATCATAATGTAAATACCTTTGTGTGTGTGTGTTTTAAGGCTCTTCAAGCACTGCAAAGACAGCCAAATGCAGCTCAATACTTCCAGCAGCTCATGCTGCAGCAGCAGATCAACAGTGCCCAACTCCATAGCTTGGCTGCAGTGCAACAGGTAACCATCATTTTAAGAGGAAAATTCAGTTCTCACCCAATAAAATTTCTTTTTGATCTCTTTAAACTGTAATTTCTCTGTTTTTTCCAGGCCACCCTTGCTGCCAGTCGCCAGTCCAACACCCTGAGTAACAGCACGTCTCAAGCACCTACCACTGTAAATTGTTTTACAGCAGTTACTTTTTGAATGACACACAGCAAACATTCAAAGTAGTTGGTACTTTTTTTTTTATAAAAATGCAAGTTGTTGTTCCTCCCAGGTCAACCTCAGCACCACATCTGCAGTAGGGACGATGACTAATCCTCGTCCCCACGGCCCTGCCACCTCTGCAACGACTCCAGCTCTCAACCAGTCAGTGTTGCTGGGTGGAAACTCTGCAGGACAGGGACAGATGTATCTTAGGGTGGGTAATAATGATCTTGAGCTATGTTTGTTTTTGGCAAAAAAATCGAAAACATTTATATATTGCTCTTGTCAGTGTCACCTACACTTTTGATATAATAATTTCACAGTTTTTTCTGTTTTAGAAAAAGGTTATTGATTTGGTGTTCTAAATGTATTCCTTGGATTGTTTAAAGAGAATGAAAAAATTATACGCTTCCACTTGCGGTGTTGACAACACTGATAATCTGTGCTGTTCCTTCATAGGTCAACCGCTCTCTCAGGGCTCCCCTTGCTTCTCAACTCATCTTTATGCCTGGTAATACAGCTACAGCTACTGTAGCAACAGTGGCCCAGACACAGCCTCAGCAGCAGCAGCAGCAACAGCAGCAACAACAACAACAACAACAACAACAGCAGCAACAGCAACAACAACAACAACAACAACAACAACAGCAGCAGCATGAAGTTGCTCCTACCACTGCCCAGTCTGACAATGATCAGGTTTGAGTTACATTAAATAACTAGTTAAGTTTGAGCTATTGAAAGTTATATAGTTTTCAGATTTTTATATATTGTTAGTTTTAGAAATATGATTATTAGAGTCAAATAGTGCCCCTCACGAGACGCTCTTCTCCTTCCATATTTCTCAAATACTCCTTTCTTTATGTCCCAGGTGCAGAACTTGGCTCTCCACTGTGCTTCCACTCCCAGAGCAGTTTCTGTCAAGTCTGAGCTTCCAGAGAGGAAAGATTGTGCCAGCTTTCCCCTCGGTCAGCAGCAGCAGACCTTCTCCCAAAACGCTCAGCAGCAGCAAGTACAACCACAACAGCAACAACAACAACAAATAGTCAAACCCAATTTTACTCAGCAGTCCACTGCCAACAGTATGACTGTAAAAACTGGAAACCAGGCCATGACTGTCACTCCTGCTGCTTCTGTAGCCCCCTCTAACACCTCCTCTGCAGCACTCCCTCTCTCGCAACTCCTCTTGTCCTCCTCTGCTGCCCCCGTGATCTTGGTGCCCACGTCAAATGTTCCTACCTCCACCCAGGGCTACACCATTGGCACAGTGACCTCAAAAGCCAACGTCAACACGCAGACTCTGGTGGTGCAGCCACTGCAACAGGCCAGCACTACAGCAGACAAGGGGCCTGTACCTATCCAGCCTAAGACAGCCCAGGGACACCGTTTACCTGTGCAGTTGCCTCCCAGACACCCACCTCCCATTCTACCAGCACCACCTAGCAACAGCCAGGCCTCCACTATAGGACACAACCATCCCCACATCCCTGTGCAGCTTGTGGGAGCCAGGCAGGGCTTAACAGGAAACTCTCAGGCTGTTGCCCTGGCAAATGCACGAAGCAGCACAGCCCATGACAACACAGCTAGTGGGAATGTTAACACAGTGTCCAACAACAGTGCGATGGTAAGATCAACCACTGAAAGGATGAACTCAGTGACACTGACACTGTTTTGCTTCAGTGAAGTCTAATAATTGCTGCTGCTTTTTCCTCCACACACCATCAGATGAAGCCTGCCATTGGCTCTCTTAAGAGAAAATCTGACTGTGAAGTACCAAACGAGATGGGGACAGAATCATTAGACTCTGCACCAGTAAAAGATTCTGCTCCCACCTTATCCCCTGCCCCCACAAAGGATTCAGGTAAGTTTGTCTTCTCCAAATCAAGCAAAATTAATTAGTAATATTTTATGTCACCATAAACCTTGAAATCTGGTTTAAAAACCTCTTCCCTGTTTGTTTCAATCCTCACTGTAGCTCCTGTTATAGCTGCATTCTCATCTCCTCCCATGCTGTCCTTACCTCTGCCTTTGCCAAGAGTTGGGCATGGGGACAAAGACAGAGCGCCGGTTCCCCAGGCAGTGGTCAAACCTCAAGTTCTCACCCACCTCATAGAGGGCTTTGTTATCCAGGAGGGAGCTGAACCCTTCCCTGTAAGTGCACCCTGCTATGAAAATGCAGATTTCACATAAAATCTTAGCTTAAATTGAAATGACACTGGCTGTGTTGCTTTCTGTGTGAGAAGTTCCTCACTGTCAGGCTTCTATGTGACGTAACAGGTTGCTGGACTCCTCAAAGACAGAGATTTTGCTCTGGCTGGCCGCTCTGAAAACGGACCTCCATGTAGGTGGAGTTTTGGATTTGAAATAATATGATACTATTAACCTGTTTGTATGTATTTTCCAAATGTAATATACGTGTATACTTTACTTTTCTCTGCAGTGTTGAAGTGTGAATACTGTGGAAACCTGGCACCAGCCAGCCAGTTCAGAGGCTCAAAGAGGTTCTGTTCAAATACTTGTGCTAAGAGGTAGGATTTCCACCGACATGCTAAAGATTGTTTCTGCAACAAGAGATTCATCACTGCCCACATACTTCAATGTCTAATTCTTTTAAATTGACATGGTTGTTAAGCAATGCATCCAGTAGAGGGCAGCTCATGTAAGGCTCAGTCCATTTCTATATCTTACATTGAGCATAAATGAGCCTTAAAGCTTCTTTTTTTTCTAGCATAATTAAATAACATAGATTTTTATGCTACCTTTAGAATAAGCTCAAAACTCTGAGCTTCACCAAGGGTGAGCCGCCAACAACTTAGAATTCCAAATGTCTTCCTCTGCATTGACTGTTCCCCTTGGTCCACAGGTATAATGTGAGCTGCAGCCAACACTTCAAGACAAGTCGAGTCCGAAGTGGTGCAGGACTGGCATCCCCTCCTGCACCCTCTGAGAGCATGGCAAAGCGCAGGGGCCCCTCTCGCCGGAACAGTTCTAATATCACCTGTAATAAAATGTCAAACAGGCATCTACCTGTCAAGGTAAGAACTGAAGTTTAAACGACAAAATTGGAAATATTCTTCTATTGTCAACAAATCAAAGAAAAAAATGAGACGTAATGACTTGATCTACTAATTATTATTCTGTGTGCATTCAAAGGCTGTGTGGTTTATATTGGACATCCCTTGTTGTATGAAGACTCTGAAAAACACACCAATAATTTGTCTTGAGTCAAACCCTCATACAACTGGTGCTTTAAATACTCATTCGAGTACGAAATATGTACTAATCCTCTGAAAATAGTTCCAACTATTTACTTCCTTTTGAGTTACATTTGCTAAAAACTACAATTCCTGTTGCTGTTTTTGGAAATGATTGTATGACTGTAACCTGTCCTTCAAAATGAAATTTGAAAACTTTATGAATATTTAATTCTTGTTCTTGACCTTACCCGAGCACCTCAGAGCTCATTGAGAGTCAGACCAGCACACAGGATGGTTTTATATCATGTGACTATATAGGTAAAAAATTATGCGTACTCTCTGGCTTTTTTTTTATCAAAACAGTGTCATTCTGAGTCCAGTCGCTCGGAGGAAGTGTCCAGCGATGGGGAGGAAGAAGAGGAGGATGATTCTCCCTCACTTTCTCCAACCTCCTCACACTCCTGCTCCAGAGCGGACCACAGCGCTCCTCAGTCTGACAGTTCAGCTCCTGGTAGCCTTCCACTGGAGGGCGCCAACTTTCTCTCAGCAACTCCTGCTCAATGGAGTGTAGAAGAAGTCTGCAGGTTCATCTCTTCGCTTCAAGGTTGGTGTTCGGTGATTAGGAAACAGTTTTATAAGCCTCAGTATACTTTGAAGTTTACTACGAAGGAAGATTTGTGGTCACTGGGGGAACTTGAGGTTCAACCCTCAGTTTTTAGTCCTGTGAAGCAGAAAAGAGTTATCGATCCACAGGTTCCTGGCAGGTACAAAAGAGTTTAGGCACAACTTCAGTATTATAGTTGAGAAATAATAAATGTAAACAGATATTTTTTATAGATTGGCAGAATTGTTTTGCTGTTTGAAACTTTTGTCTGTCACTGTTACCGACTGACTGTATCAGAGTTTCTTCTCTTGGTTCTGACGATGTTGCTCATAATTAACGACTCTGCCTCTGACGCATTAATACTCACATAGCAGGATACGAACCCTCAGGGTTCACTGAGACAGATGATAAGCAGCTTTGTTGTATAGGTTATCAGTTCGGACGATGTAAGGTTAAGTGAAGCTGGATAACGAAAACACATCCTGTGCGTGTTGAACTCACTAATGCAGGTCGCTGGTCTCTTTCTGTGCTGGTTGTATCACCTTGTCTCTCCTTTGTGCTCAGGTTGTGAGGAGCTGGCCGCCCAGTTTCTGTCACAGGAAATAGACGGGCAGGCTCTTCTGCTTCTGCGAGAGGACCATCTCATCTCCACCATGAATATCAAGCTGGGTCCCGCTCTCAAGATCTGTGCCTCCATCAACAGCCTGCGTGAGTGAAGAGGTCGGTGCTAAAGCGGGGATCAATACCTGGACTTGCCCCTTTTGTTAGTAACAAGTTAAAAACCTAAGACTGAGATCATTACAAAACAATGGTGCTCCATTGATCGTGTGCTGATATGGAGGAGAGTTTACTTTTTGGACTTTGAATGTGTAAAAACACATGTATGCAGACTGTGTGCATGCATATATGTGTGAGTGGTGAGCAAGGACATTCTGAAATATCTATGTCTGTCCGTTGGTCACTTTTTTCTGTTACCGTGAGTAAAGACCTTTTGTATGTAAACTAAACGCCAGCCTGCAGTAATCGCTGCTCGGTTTCTAGCTAGAACAGCTCACGTGTTGGGTTTAAAAGACATGTTGCCTTCTTGCTGTATTTCAAACAGTGCTTTAACTTTAGTAGTATGATTTCTGATGTCACCAACAACCACTTCATTTAAACCTTTTGTTCTTCTTTTACTGTAGATGTTCAGCTCAGGCTCCAATCACACTGAGTGAAGGACACTCAAACAGCCTAGTATCTTTAGTTCATTAGTTCAACTTATTAGTCACTAAAAGTTTAGTTTTGTATCTTTTCCATTTTGTATCACAATCAAAATTATTTTTTCATGGATATAATAGTTGTAGTAGCTTTAATCAACCTAACTACCTGAAAATAGGTATTCCTCACAGTTTGCCCTCTCGAGGGCTAAGTGAAAGTGCTCTGTGTACATGTATGCAATAATGCCAATAAAACGATTCTTGTTACCAGACATGTTTATTCATACTTTTAAATTAAAATTTCCCTGAAAAGGAAACGAAGTCACCCTAGATGATTTATTTAAATGTAAATACTTCATTTCTCACGTCCATCCACACGAACTGAGCTCATAGAGAGAACAGAGTGAAACAATATTGTAATTTCAATAACAAATCCTACATTTCCATAACTCCAACTAATATAGAATTGTACAAAAATGCAGTAATAACATATATTACATCTTTTAATATACATCAGCTTCAGGTTGTAAACATTGGTAAACCTTCATATATCTACGGTGTCTAACACAAGGTCAGGATGCAGCAGCTGTACGTCGTCAAGTTTACGTAACAGTTCACTGTTAAAACATTTCATGTATTTCCCCCACAAATAAGTCACTGCTTCAAAAGGTAAATAACTTATTATACGTGTAAGATCCTCTCATTGTTTGCATCACAGTATGAGAATACACAGCAAAATAAAAGAACAACCTCCGCGTCCAAAGCACATCTACACAGGACACTTTAATTGCACCTGAAAGACTCTGTGTTGTAAAGTGCACCACTGGGGTATTTGAGAATATTGCAATATATTTTGCCGGCACAGGCAGTGATCAGAAAACAGTGTAGCTGTTGGTCTCCCCGTATCCTGCTTCCTGCAGATACTGCTCAATGTTAATCGTCCCAGACGCCTTGAGGACTTTGTCGGAGGCGCTCTTCTCCCCTGAGGTGAGCTTTCGGCTCACGTCAGCCAGGGAGGGTCGATCTTGATCCTTCCAATTACAGCAACCTTTAATGATGGAGTACCTGAGAGAGGGGAGATGTTTGTTAATTAGAGAAATTCTGAAATCGCTGAGTTGCCTCAGGTTTGGGTGTGTGTTGTCTGGATACTCACAGAGCGTTGGAGCAGTTGGAAGGTTTTTTCAGACTCTTCCCTCTTTGATGAAACTGTAGAAGTTCATTAACTGAGATATCTGCAAACGGAGCTTCACCTGGAGAGTAAATAGCACATGTGGTGAGACTGGCGGATGTGGATAACATCCTGTATGCATTGTCTCATTACAACACCAATGTATATGGTGGAGTAGAGGACACTTTCTGGAAAATCAACAGAGAAACTATTATGGTGGAAAAAAAAACAACAGCAAATGATTTGGTTTATCATGTTTCCGTATTTCACGTTGTTTCGTCGTTGTGTTTTGAAATTAGTTTATCGTGTTTTCTTATCTCTTGCTGTTTTTTACTTAACAATTGTGTTTTTTGGTTTATCGTTGTCTTTTCCATTTGTCATTTCCATTTGTCATTTCCACTTCAGGGCCACCATCCTTTAAGGATAGATGACATGTCTCTTTTTGGCTGATTCAGCATATTAAATATCATAAAGATAAATTTATATTAAAATCAAATATCGACATAAAATAGTCACCTTTACTAATTTACTAAAATATATAAATGTATATGGGAAAATGTCAGTGTGTTGAGTCTCTATTCATAGTGTCACAGTATATAAATATCGTGACACTACTGTTTGTTGCCGTCCCTACTAGTAGATAATCCTACTTATCTAGTAAGTATATTAATCGGTTGTTAATGAAGTTTTTTTGAAAGTCACAGATGAACTCACCCAGTGTTGCCATCTCATACAGTAAGATGCCAAATGACCAGCTGGAAAGACACACACAGGAAAGTATTAGTTAATAGGAACATTTATTTCTTCTCCTACATTAAAGGTGATCTGAATCAATCTTTAGTTTCAGTGTAGGAGAACTCACACGTCACTGCTCTGACTGGCAGCCCTCTTGGCCAACAGCTCTGGTGCCTGCCATTTCTTCATGCTGGCATCCTCCCTCTGAGTGCCCACCTGGTTCTTCCTCCTGTAGACCCCATGAAGACCCCAGAGCTTGGCCGTGAAGTCCTTGCTGACCAGTACGTTGCGGGCACGAATATTTCCGTGGAGAAGATCTTTGCTGTGAAGAAACTCCTGATAGAGGAACGAGACGAGGAAATCTCAGGATTAAACAGACCTGGCCTGTGCAGTTACAGTAATCTAAAATCAGGATGGGAGTTAATTGAATTTCAGAAAAATTTGTCTTTTCTATATATGGCTCCAGTTGCTCAAAGGTGTTTTCTACAAAGTAAAAGTAACATTTTGGAGATCGACAGGTAGTCGCGGGTATATTTGTGTGCATGTACTTTGGAGGTTCAGTACCGAGATCTGTCACTGATTTGAAAAAAAAAAGAAGTAATTTTCATACTGACCAGAGCTGAGGCCACCTGTTGGGCCATAGTAAATATTCCTCTCTCAGTCATTTCACACGGAGGAGCTACACCGTCCTGAAAGAATAAACACCACAATGAGGTATACTCTGTCATTTGCTATTTTATTCCAGTTTTATAATTTGATATTTGAGGTGACACATTAAAAATACACCTCACACATCCTACCTGTCTGCATCTCCACAGGAGGCTGAGCAGGTCTCTGTTCTCCAGCTCCTCCACCACTGTGACCAGAGGAGCTCGCAGGGACACCACACCGAGCAGCTCCGGCAGGAATGGATGAGGCCCAAGCTGAGCCAGGAAGGATGCAAAACCCAGGAAGCTGTGTCTTTCTGAAGCATCTGCAGAGTCTGTGGAGCATAGAGACAAAAGGGAAAAACAAAAAACTGTAGCAGCAGAAGTCAAAGGAGAAAGATCTGGGAATCAGATGATTAAGAGCTCTTTAACATCTCACCATTCAGCACCCGCAGGACCACGTTCCTGTTTTCCATACGGGCCCTGTAGAGGGACACAGAGGAGTCGGAGCGCAGGCTGAAGGCCACGGGCAGAGGGGTGACTAGGTTGAAGGACTCGGGCAACCTCTGGCGGGGCAACTCCCTGGGCTGGACGATGGGAATGAAGCTGGGCTTGAAGGGCTGTTTTTGGGGGTCGGACGGGAGAGAGGCTGTGCTCACAGGCACGGAGAGGTTGTTCTTAGAGGAGTAGGTGCTTGGAGGGTTGAAGGTGGAGTAGGAACTGGGCATGTCCAGAGCGATGCTTTCATGCTCCAGCACATTGATACCTGGTGGAGCTACGGGCAGAGATACAGAGGGAGAAAGACAATCATCACTATTACAAGGATATAAGATCATAATTGTTATTATTATTAGTTCTAGTATTATTCCAGATTATTTTACAAAAGGAATAACCGGTGTCTTACCATCGATACCGTGCAGTGTTCTCCTGGCGGTCGACTTTGAGGCCTTTGGTCGGATCCGATCGACTTTCTCCGGACAGAAGTGCAGCAGCAAAATGAAGACCAGGGTGACCAGGAAGCTGGCCAGCAGCAAGATGGGAACTATGATCACCTCCTGCTCGTAGACACGGATCTCTGCACACAGCACGGAGCAGATACAAGGAAACGTCAGCAGCTATGTGGTTAACTGATCTCAGAGCAGACCTGTTTGCACAATGTGTGCCGGTATGTTTGTTCATCTCTCGACTCCAGTGACCTTTTACTTCACTGATGGTCGGAATCTTCAACATCTATCTTTAGACGATAAGACTCACCACAGATTGTATCCCCATGTTGACAGCGGTAGTCTGCATCTGATACCGAAGACATCCTGTCAAATGTAAATGTGAGAGTTTATTTTATTCACGTTTGTCAACTTCACATTCACTGTTCACTCACTCGGTCAGACGACACATCTCGTAGGTTTTGAAAAGCTCTATGGAACTTGGTGAAAGGATTTGTTCTGGGTCAGGGAACAATCCTTCAGATTTTTGTACGGATCCAGGTTATTATTATTTTTCACTACTTTTTATTGTGGTTTCAGGGAATCATTAATAGTTCAGGCACATATAGGTGTGTGTGTGTGTGTATGTAATTTGGTGGAGCTTGACTGAATGAAGGAGACTGTTTGGCCTTGGCGGAGGTATGAGCTCTACTAAGTGCCATTCAAGTATTTAGTTGGTTTCTAGTAGGTTGTTTCTATATGCTTATACAGTTGTTAGGTCTTAAAGTCTTTGTCGTGGATGCCCAAATAGACGTACATGATTCACACCAACAGATATAAAGTGACAGTGGAAATCATGAAACCTACTCTGAGTGGTAACTTGACTCTAGCAGTCAGGGAACCAGTGTGAGAAGGTGTCTGAGCGAACGTGTAACTGAGCCAGGAACTTAAAGTGTTGTATCACAGCCTCTGAGACGTTTTAGAATATCAGAGCAAAGAACTCTTCTGACGCTTCGCTGCGTTACTTTAACCACAGTGAACCTTGATCCCTGTGGACTCACAGCACACACCTCCTTTGTTTGCCGATGTAAAAGATGTAGTAATATTATTTGCCACAGCCCCATGCAGAAGAACAAGGATAATCTCTCTAACTGAAGCGTGTTCACAGTGTATGTCTGACTTTAAATGACACTGCAGCCTCACAGAACAACATTTTAACCCAGTGATCATCCTCTTGTATCAGATCCCGGCAATCCAAACCTGTTCATCTGCATTTTTTGGACACATTAGTGCCAGTGCTGCACTACACACCCAAAAGGACAAACATACAGGACACAACAGCACATACAAACCAACAACATCACAGAAAGAGTGAGGTACACACAGGTAAAGCTTTTATCTGCATGAACATGATGCCGATACATCAGCTCACTCCACCTCACCGACAGTGAGGAGACACGTAGTGAATTATTTCTTACCTCAGCTCCTTCAGTTGTTACTTAGACCCTAGATAAAATGATAGATCCTGTTATTGGAGGCTCATGTTTCCCTCCTTCACGCGGACAGGCTCTTTTCACACATCCTCCCAGATGAACGTGGAGCCTGCTCAGATCGTCATTGTCTCAGGCGACGTCAGGCTCAGGGGATCACCGTGCTGCTCTCTGTTTGTCTACCTTCCACCTTCAGTGTTTTCTCAACCCCACCCTCCTCACCTGCTCCTTATCCGCCTCCCTTTTTTTTATTTACCCTTCCTTTTTCCTCCTTTCTGTCTCCGTCCCTCTCAGCTCCAGTGGTGATTCACCCACACTGATGTCAGGTGTCTGCTGATCCCCAGTCCTGACCTGCCTTTTCTAACACTTTGCTCGACCACATTCTGTAATTTCCTTTTTCCTTTTTGAAGCCAGCAGCATGTCAGCTTCTACAAGCCCTGCCTCTCTCCTCTTTGTTTAGGGAAACTGGTCCTGCAGCTCCTTGTCATTTTTAGTCTCCAGCCTTTTGTCAAGTGTTTGGCCTTCATTGCCCTGGAACTCGTAAGACAAGCTCTGCAGTCTCTGGAGTATTTAGTTGACAATAACAAACTGCATTTCATCCGGGTAGAGGTAACAAATAAAGAAACATCTCCCCACTCCTTAAAAATATATAAATAGCAATTCAGATCATGCTTTGTTAAAAGATGTCACAGTTTGCTCTACCACAGGTAAAGTAAAATTAGAAGTAGCAGCTGTTGAAGGGCTGTGGTGAAGGGTTGTGCTCACAAACACAATAACAGAGAAGTGGAGAAAGAACTGGTCCAGGACACTGAAACCTGCTGGAGCTCCGGACAGAGATAAAGACGAGAATAATCATTATTAGGGATAAATAGGATTTATGTGAGGCAAGATTAACAAAGTTGTAGTCTCTGTGTTAAAAAAAATGACTTAACTGAAAGCAGTGTTGATCCAAGGGGGTAAATGATATCATACAGTGGATAGGTAACATGTTTTTACAGTTTCTACAAATAAGAGCTTAGATGTTCTAACTGAGCAAATATATGGCAGGCTGACTCAGTAACCTCCTTTAAAGAAAAGTTTAAAACACACTCCTCATATTACATTCTGTGATTTTACCCAATTGGAGTTTTTATTATTATAATGGGTAGCCTTTTTTATGATTTTTTATTTTACTTGTGTCGTTTATTTTTAAGCACCTTGTAGCTTTGTTTTGAGAAGTGCTATATAAATAAATCTATTATATTATTATTAATGTTCAACTGTAGCGTTCATAATTTCATTGTATTTTGTGCTAAGACACTAATGGCTTTCTATAAAACACATTGAGTTCAACAGCACTGATTGGTTGAATAAGTAGGACCTTGTATTTCTGGAGAGAAGAACACCAAGATTTTAACTGTCACATATTAAACAGCACAATGGTTTGTTACATCATTCACACTATTTATTGGTTATTGGAAATCTGCTGATTGGTTTGACAAGGCCCTGCTTACAAAACATGAAGTTTGAAGTGTTTAATAAAGTTAAGAAAACAACATTAGACAGATAGAATTCAAGAATGTTTGAAGACAGTTTCCATCTCACAGCTTGGCAGCAGACTTGTGAGGCACAGGTCCGAGCCACTTCTCTCCTGAAACACAGAATAAAACCAGAGAGCACCAGCATTAATCACTAATGATGCTGAACTCCACTGTGTCTGAAGTACAGACTGTAAATAAACATGGACGATGTGATGGCTCTCCAAAAGTGAAGCTAAAGCATCTCAATCGCCATCTGGTGGATAGCTGCAGAATAGCCAAAAACGGTTTAAATAATCACAGTCTCCTCCATGTTAGTGGATGTGACCTTGACCACACTAAAAAGTCAAAGTAAACATTTAACAATCTTTTCCTAAAGATCATCATTTGAGGTATTTCTTATCCAACTGATGTATCTTCAAATGTAATTTTTTTCCCATTCAGTTTGGTTTTACTCAGCTGATGCTATAAAAACAGGGTGAAAGCAATACAGTCTATGAACATCTTGCATTTATGTAATTCTCTTATCAAAGAATAAGATTAAGATTCCTTTATTCTCCCACAATCATGCACACACAAGCACTACATGCAACGGGGAAATTGACCCAAAAGGTGACAAACCGCAAGTTCAACAGTAGATTAAGACTGTGCCAAATGTCATTTTAATCTTTATCGGTTCAGCTTAACATTACATGTGTTGGTTTGTGAAACATGCAGCGTACAACAGTATTCTCACCGAGGCAGTGGGCCATGAGCTCAAATCTGTCAGATCCAAAAAATATCTCTGGTTTTCCATCAATATGACACACCATCATGGGGAAGCCGAACGACTGGGGGGGAAACAAGAGGACATATTTTGTTTGTTACATTGAAACATCTTGTGCGTCACAAGGAGAGCTGAAGGACAACTCACCCCATAGCCAAGTGCATCCTGCGTTGTGCTTTTCAGCTTGGCTTTAATCTCCTTTGACTTGGACAACTCCAGCACTGTTTTAATTTCATCAGCAGACAGACCTGCTTTCTTTGCTGCCTGCAAGAAAAAGAGGCAACATCCATCCATCCATCCATTATCTATACCATTCATCTTTTATGGGACGCCTGGGGGCAGGAGCCAATGGCATCTGACATTGGGCTAGAGGCGGGACTAACCTCTGTGCTATGACAAAGCTAAAAAAATTGTGCTGCCTTATCTTTTTTAATGCAACAAGGATGGATAAAATGGAACCTCAGACAGTGACGCAGGTTCAGTGATGTCTTTGTCCTGACTCCAGATTCGTCTCCACAGCTCCCGGGACACTTGCTCCACCTGTTTGTCTCCATCCTTTTCCCTCTCTTGTACTGCTGCCACAAATCGCATTGCAGACAAGGAACCTGAGAGAAGAAAACACAAGACCAGCAAGTATTATTATGCTTGTACAATAAAGAGATATAGTACAACTGCTGTCTTTTCCAAGGCTGAATTGCCCATTGGGCAAATCTCCAAACTCAAAACATTTGAAATATATACCACAAACAATTTCAAGTGACATGAGTAGGAGTGATAGGAGCCAACAATGGAAAAGACCCAATCAGCAAGCAGGCGTGAGTGTCTACACCATCCTTTCCAAACATCTCTGCTTTTGCCTGTCCAGACTTAAACACAGCCCTGGAGTTTTCAAACTAAAACAGAGTATTTCCAAACTTTACAACTCTGGAGTAGTGTGGACATGAGGCATTACACAGCAACGACATGTCCTAAATAAATGTGTGTTTAGTCTTATTACCACACAACAGACCGGCAGCCAGACTGATACAAATAAACTATGGACATACAACAGCAAACAACAATCCACACAGATGAATCCACCCATGTTCACATCAATACACACACTGTATAGATTCCATCAGATCCTGCTTGTATGCACCTTTTTTGAACATGGCCTCGAAGGGGTCCGATGGGGGGCACAGGGGAACCTCAAAGTACTCTGACAAGCGCTGCAGATCCTTGGTCATGTACAAAAATTTATTTGGAACCACACCAGGAGGCTTATTGTCTGTTATGACAGATAAACAGGGTATTGATAACGACAGTAATAAGACGGTCGTAACAATAATAGTGTGAAAATGTTGTGGGGAGACCTGATCCCTGCATGACGCCGCCCAGGAAAGCAGGGCGCAGCTTGACCTCCACGTTCCACACGTTTCTGTAGCGACACATGAGCTGTGAAGACAAACCACCGGTGTTATTATCTTAGTTATCACCAAAGTCTGTGACTTTATATAAAAACACTCAAACCTCAAAGCCGAGCCAAGAGTATGGAGAGACCACATCGTAGAACAACTCGATCACTTTCTTGGATGACATCTTCAGCACGTTCCACACACAGGGAAGGTTCAAACTGCTGTACAGAGACATCCAAAAAAACTTGAAGTGCTCAAAACATAGTACACAGTACAACATAGTGTGCAGTCATAGGAGGAGAGTAGTTTACATCGGAATTGTGCAAAAGTGGACTGAGTGCAAAATAAGTTGAAAGAGAAACACAACATAAATAAATTAAAGATAAAACTGCCTGAAATGATCAAAATAAAATCGAATAAAATGCAGTGATGGTTTGACCTGTTAAAATAGTTGAGTTAGAGGAACCTGGATGAAACATTTCTAAGACGTGTGTGGTTCCACGAGCAGACTCTCAGGATCATATTCTATATAAATGCAGAGTTTATGAGACGTGTTCGTTAATGAGCCAGATACAAAGTGAAGTCAGGTAAAGTTCAACTCACCTGACAGAGCTGCTCTGCTCGATGGGAATCCCGCGAATGACGTCACCTAAAGTCTCTTCAGCTGCTTTACACAAACTCGATCTCACACCGTATTTACTTAATTTGAATGCAAACTCAGATTTGTTTGAGTTCCATAAACTACAACCTCAACAACCCTCCTCCTCTCGTCTGCCCTCAAACTACCATACACAAACCTGCCACTCTTCTTCTGCTGAGCGAGGCAGGCTGTAGGTGTAGTGCCGCCACCTACTGGTCTGGAGTTTGACAAATAAATAAAAATAGACAATCTTTCTTCTTTTAAATGTCTAATTAATTTAAGCATGAGCAACAATCAAGTGACATTTTTATATGCTTTACATTTCACTTTTTTATTATTGTTATTGTTATTATTAGCAGTAGTTGTTGTAGAAGTAATAGTAGTAGTAGTAGTAGTAGTAGTAGTAGTAGTATTGACCTGTCTAGAATGAACCCAATCTCTCTTGCTGTGGAGCTGTGTTGCAAATTGAACTTTCTATATCTAACATGTTTGTTGTGTTTGTAGAAATGTTATCTCTGCTGTTGTTCCCCTTGTCAACTTCTTTCCCCATCCCACACACTGGAGTAAATGTTTTCTGACAACAAAGGAGGGAAGTCTTTTTTTTTTATCCAGGCCTATTTAGGCCGTTTAATATGTTGTAAATTTCTCTGACATACAATTTAAAGAAATTTAGAATAATACGACTATGACAATGAATTATTTATATTCCCTGAAATACTATTTGCTTTTACATTCTATATACATATTGAATTGATCTGGACATAGGCTAGAAATGTCTATATGTATATTTATGTCTAAAATCCATGAATGAAAAGTTCTTTTTATGTCTCCTCTTGAGGACTAGTTTGATCCTTGAGTTCAGCTGGTCCCAAACTGTCAGTAAAAGCATGCTGGGGTCCTGGAGATTTGTCACTGAAAACCAAAGAAAACACTTACATGTCTTACATGTCTACATAACTTAAACAACCTTTACTTAAAGGATTTGTTTTTCATCTGTTTCTCACAAGTCTTACCTCTCTCCATCTTTCTCTGTCTGTAAAGAAATACAGAAAAGAGAAGATCAGGTGAAACCTTTGTTGAATCAAACATCTTTCATCTCATTGTTAATTTTTACCCTTGGCCTCTGTGATGCAGTGCCACCACTTTTCCTGGGGACCCCAAGAGTGTCAAAAGAATGGCTCCGCACCCTGATGGCTCTCTAATAAGAGAAATGGGTGGAAAAAATAAATTTGAAAAATTGAAACCAAACATTGAAGGGTTTCTGAACAGTGGATTTACCTTAAAGTTCTCAATGAATCCTCCACTCCCCTCAGACACCCCACGCACGCCTTCGGAGCAGGGGAGAGAAGACAGTGATGGATCTCCCACCATGCACTGGGAGCGGGTGGAGAGTTCAGCCTGCAGGCTTTCTAGGAGTGAAGAACGAGTCCGGAGCTTCGTAAAAAGGGGAAAGAGGGAAACAAGATCACAGAGCACAGAGATCAATTCTGATGAGCAAACATGAATCCAGTTAAAAACCAGCTATTGTGCCGTTTCTACCTCTAATCTGTTGAAGCGCTCCGCCTTGTAGCAGGAAATCTCCGCATTGATGAGCTTGGTCAGAAGAAATCTTCTCAACAGAGAACCCTGAAAGTCAGGACAGAGGACACCAAGACCTGTGATGCTTCTCAAACTCACTGAAATGAAACATAACTCAGTGCTGGATATTACCCATGATGCCCTGCTTCCTGAACCAGAGGAGCTACTGCTGTACAAAAAAACAGACTCTGACTAGAATTCTTCCTATTTTAAGAGTTTTCTGGCAGAATATTGAAGAAAAAGTTTGTTTTTAATGATTCTCAGTCAGTTCAGCATTACTCTTGAACCTGCTGGGCCTGATTCTGAATAGGAAATTCTAACTTGACTTCAAGGATTATTTAGAAAAACAAAAGCAGTTGACTCAGTGGCACTTGTTGGCCTTAGTTGTTTTTCTGTCTTACATCTGTGAAGAGGGGAGGATCTGGGATGACCGGACCAAAGGGAGGAACATCTTCTCTGGCTGTGACACACACCTGTGAGGAGGAGAAGAAACAGAGAAAGTATGACTAATAAACCAACTCGACTGGTTTTGTGAGCTAATATTAGCTCATCACGGATAAAGATGAGTATAGAGGATGTGTGGCGGTAAATAACAAAAGATTACATTCCATTGCATTGTTCTTCCACCAGGGAGCAGTGCAGAGTTCATGTTTTAACTCTAAAATATCCTGCTGCTGAGTACATACAAGGTCTCCTTATTTAAAGAAAAACATCAGTCATATTATTTATTTATCTTCCTGTATTTTGTTGGTGTTCTGTACTTTTTGGTATTTTCTGCATTGTTTGATTAAGCATTGGTTGATAGACACAGAAAAAACAGAGAGAGAGAGAGAGAGAGAAAGAGAGAGAGAGAGACAGGATGACTGGCAGCAAAGGGCTGCAGGCCGGATTCAAACCCCGGACTCTATGTTAAGGCCATAAAGCAGGAAGCACACTCTACCAACTGTTTGGGCCCCACTGTTGGTTTCATTGATGCTCAAGATATTTTCATTGTAGCCCCATTTTATCCTCTAGTAATATTATTGATCACATTTTATTTATTACAATATTATACTTACCATACAATAAAAGTTACCATAAAATCTATTAGTATGGGCAGTGCAGTAATGCAGAGATTTATTTTGTCCTCTTACAGCAATAAGTTTCTTGATTTTCCATGGTACTCTAGCTTCCTCCCACAGTCCAAGTACATGCAGATTGGATTTAAGTTTATTTGATATTCTTAAAGGTGTGAATATGAGTGTGGATGATTATCTTTTTATGTCGGCCCTTAGATGTCAGCAGGGACCCTCAGTGACTCTTAAATGACAAGCAGTATAGATAGCAGTATAGATGGATTTATTGTTATCTCAATATCAACATCATCTTCAAATCCAGCATCAGTTGGGCTTCATAATGCTTTTTAATATTCAAAGAAATCAGTAAACTTAAACAAACAAGGTTCCACTCGCTCCATGATGATAAACTGAGTGTGGTCTGTTGTTTTAGTCACCTGGTACGCAGCTCCATCTGTCTCCTCCTCCCTTCGAATCCGTCGCACCACCAGGAAACAGTGCAGGAAGTGAGACTTGATGACGTCAGAGAGAAACGGGGTTGGACCCTCCTGGTAGACCAGAGCTACGATGTCATTACCGATGTGTCTTTTCCTTTGTAACTGTGCAGGATGAAAGAGGAAGAGGAGTAAAAACAAAGTGTCTGTTCAAGTAACTATTGACGGTGAATCCTCAGAGTGGGATTCAAGCAGTGGCTGACCTGCTGTGGGTCTCCCTCTGTAAAAGGCAGTTTAGTTGCGACATGGAACATGATTTCTCTACCATGAAAGGAAGTGAAGACGGCTTCACTTCCTGTCTGACCATGGCACACGTCCAGTCCTCCTCTGAACCTGAGTAAAGCGGAGAGAAGAAGAAATGTTTTACACACTGCATCTGTCACCTCTGCTGCTAAACAACAGCAACATATTTTACCTGGTAAATCCCTGCAGCTGAATCGTCTCTCCCAAAAGGGACAGGAACTCTTTAAACCCTTCGCTTTCGTCATTGTTGCTGAGTATGTCCTCCTCCGTCAACTGAGGGGGAGACGGAGAAGTCAAAAGAGTTTCAAGGGAGTTTGAGGGCCCCAGGCAAAAGGGGGCCCCCCTGGGGGTAGTTGCCACAATGCAGGGTCCTCACCTGACCATCCTTTTGGTACAAAATGCCAAACTTGAAATTAGGAGACACTCTGTGTTCGTCGAATGCAGTTATCAGTTCTGGAGCCTGATGGACGAGGACAGGAGATCAGGGTTGAGAGAATTCATCTAGAATAACTGGTCTTTTTGTTTTGGTTGTTAATAAAGATGAAACATTACCTTGAGGTAGCTGACCACTTCAAACTTTGAGACAGTCACTCTGTCACAGAGCATCTACAAAAGAATTTCATTTTGCCTTTATACACATCTCTTAATAAAACATCCATGACTCAAAGTACTATGAGTCAATCAGGCACTTTACTGAAGTGCAATATGAGGTATTTTACTTGAGCACCTCATTTTTAAGTCCCTTTATATTTCAATTTCTTAACTTTTAAAATGTAAGACCGAACTTTTTAACAACACTACATTTATTTGACAGCTATAATTAATATTTACATTGCAGGACATGTGACCAAAACACAAATATGATGAATTATTAGAAATAAACTATATATAATATTGTTAAAAGAATAAGCTTCAATTCATCTGGTAACAATTAAATAAGTCATATATTAATGCATCAATAAAAATAATCTAATCTAAAATTCATTATAAAACACTTAAAAATTGTATAACAAGGATTTTTACTGCTGATAATTCAAGTATTGTTTTGGCTGTTATGAGTTCTGAGTATGTTTATATATCATGTTTCCCTTTTACTTAAATATTACTTGTGATTACTCTTTTTATTAGAATAAGGAGTCTGGTACCTTTGCTAATTCAACAGCAGATGGGATGTTGGGGAAAAGAGACAAAGAGAAAACTCCGTGCAGGGAGCACTCCTTCATTCTGCAAGACAAAATAATAAATCCTTTTCTGTGATGCACTAACTGGACATTTAAAAATACAACATATGGGTGCATTCAAAGAAGATTTAAATCCCCCTCAGATGAGATACAAGTATACTCTGCTTTGAGTAATGATTTGTTCTTTCCACAACAATGATGATGAGAAAAATCTATCATACAGTACATTAATCTGTGCAATGACACTTAAACATCGACAATTAGTTTAAGATCTGAACCTCAGAATCACCCGTAGCTTGTTCTCCTCTTCCTCCAAACACACAGAGACAACCAGTGGCCCCAGGGAAGGATCCACCGCTGTGAATGAATGATGGTACTGGAGAGGAAAAGTGACATCTGCCTTGAGATTAAACAATCATAAATATATAAGTGATTTTAGATCAAACTTTATACGAAGTCTACTAACCCTCGAGCAGAAGATGTCACGGTAGACTTTGGCCTCTCCGTCTCTTTCCATGATGTCGTAGCTCTCTGGGTCAAGGCCATAGTGGGAGGAGGTGGGACTCACGTCCACAAGCCTCTCCAGTGGGGGGTCTATCCAGTAGCCCCCCAACTTTGAAGGGAGAATGAGCGGCAGTTCTCCACCGAGTGTTAGAAACTGAGACTAAAACATACACAAGAAAGGAGCAGCTGACGATGAGGGCCCATTTTGTCCGTTGTTTTGGGAAACAAACGTTTTGGTGATCATGAAAAGGTCAGTATCAACACACACACACCCATATATGGAGTCATCTCTGTGCTTTTTATCCCCAGATTGAACACTAACCTTCAGAGGGAGAGGAAATTCACACCGCTGCTCATCGATCCTGCTGCCCTGATGGACAAGAGGAACATTGATGATAAGAAAGTTCTGCTGCTGCAGGCATCACCGGGCACAAACACACAACACAAGATCAATCGTACTGTAACTCACCTGCAGCTTTTCAATGATTTCAAACAGCTCTGTGTCCTGATAAGAGCAACAGGCAGCAGACAGAAATGCGGAGGGAGGGAAAGGAGAAGGAAGAGGAACATGACAAATGACTCGGCTGTGAGTGGAAAGTAACTTTCCAGAAACACAGATTGTGGGACATACATAGAATATAAGTAGATTCAATTAATGCTGAACATGACAATGATATCACCCGCAGGTTGCTGCTGGAGGAGAGGAAAGGTTTGCTGTCACTGGCAGGAGAGTCCAGGATGTCCAGTAAGTTGTCTTCTGCAGAATCAGGTCTGCAACAACAGGTTGGTTTACACAACGGGACACAATGCATTGCTTCTCTTGCAGCTAAAGCTTTAGTCAAAATAACTGTGATGTAGTGGATAATCAAAACTCACCTCATCTCATCCCCACATGTGAATCTGTCCACACTGTAAACAAGGAAGTGAGAAAGTACTCAGAGAGGAAAACAGATCATCTGAAACTGACAGGATTACCGTACTTATATCTAGAAAGAAATAATACTTTTTCATTTTGTACTTTTAGCTACTCATTTAGATTTTGGGAAGATTTTCAACATTGGGTTTTTTACTCACCCTCCATATGCCCCAAAAGTGAAACTTCTCTTCCTGGAGAAGGACGTGTCATTCCTCTTCTCTCTCTCCATGGCTTTGGTGTCACTGTGAGTGCACATGTCAGGTTGCTGCCGAGTCAATCAGGTTCTGGCGAAGGTTGAATTAATTCACTCTATCATTCTGTCACTCCTCCTCCTCCCTGCCCCCTGCCTCTCACTCATTTAAGCTTCCCTTTCCTCCTCTCTGTCCTGCTGTCAGCAGTAATGGTCGCAGGTGCATCGGCCATCACGAACCTACAGTCAGGGCTTCTTCACGCCATCGATCAACGGTGGCTCATCAAGAAACACTTGTGGTGGATTCATGGACGCACTGAGCCAAAAGAAAAAAACTTGTAAATAAATAAAGAAATGGGTGAGACATTTTCTCCCAGACCAGTTACCCTTTGAGTCAGTGAAGACCATCAATTATTAACAGCACACGCAGTGAGGGTGAGGAGGTAGACAGCAGGGGAGGGTGAGGCAGGCCTCGGAGGGGGAGAGTGAGAGGAAGACAAAAAGAAAGAGACAAAATGGGGTGTGCACATTTAAATGGCTTCTCACATGATACACATTATGTTATTTCTGTTTACGGTCTATGTTAAATTGAATAGTATTTGTATGGTTGGTACAAGATGTTGAACTTTTACTCTCACTGTCAGCCCTAAGGTAACCTTTGGAAAAGCTATTGATCATAAATCTTTGACCAGAGGTGGAGAAAGTATACTCTGAACTTTTACTCGTGCAATATGCTCTATGCTTATCTGTCAAGTCATCGCTGTTTTAAATGAAGCCATTTATGGTGAAATCAATCTTTGGTGGAACTAACAACTCATAAATGTCAAATTATTGACAAGGATCCAATCTAAGGTAAACAACTGGTTTAATGTGTAACAAGATTGTACATATTTATACCATGCTTGAATGCTTTAATGTAAAAACAAAAAGTGTCTTTCTTTCTTTCTGTCTGTCTTAATTTATTTCCTGTTTTTTAAGACTTTTAGGAC